GTTTAAGAATTAATTCAAAATACTTCCACAATCCATAAAAATAACTAACCAAACACTTTGAGTTACGAATTGGGACTCAGGTTCCTCATAAGAGAATACGTAGGCATACGACTTAAAACCGTGGCAAGTCCCCTAATTAAAAAATTAAAATCATATCCTACCCTTTTAACCTAAACCCTAGGACTTCCTTGAGAATAAGGTAGATGAAGAATGCCTAACACCTTCCCTTCGTTTAAAGTGAATCAATAACTTAGAATCTTTGTATCAATTTAGGGTTATTCTATTATTCAACCTTCGTTAGGATAAAAAGTAGTGGTGACGACTCATTATTTTTTATCTGTTACGACACTTATTACTCTTATAGAAAGGTTTAATATACTTTATCTGACTTATAGTAATCAAGGTAGGACAATAAGAGAGGTGATGATGTTTGACGGGGTCAGTCGAGGTGTAGTTTTTAGTGGATGAAATTTTTCTTTAATATGCACTTAAAGTTACTGCATATTTGTTTTCTTGTATTTGCAAGGGTTTAGTCTTTTTCCTGGTAGTGATTGTTGGAGGTGGCAGGTAAAGAAAGATGAGGTATACTTGGTTGTTTCAGCTTATAGCTCCCTCGTTGAGGATAAGCTCTGTCTGACCCTTCCCCTTATTAGAGGGATTAGACACTCTCTTTTATCTGGTCTAGTTGGGCGACTTCCAAGATAGTTGTCTTCTCTTGGAAGCAATCTCCTAATAAGTCCTCTTATAGACAAAATCTTGTTAAGCTCATGGTTCACTTAAAATATGTAGGTGTGACATGTAGTAATTGTAGGGCATCATAAAGTTGATTTCTCATTTATTCACTATTAAATAAAAGGCATTTCATATAGAATGAAATAGGTTTTTCGATTCGGTTAGTCTTTCGTGGTAGCGTAGGATGTCACCGTAAGCTTGTCACATTTCACACTTATGATATTATTTTGACTTTATGGTATAAGATTTAAAGATGGATGAGTTGATCTTTCGTTATTAATAAGGATATCATGTCGTGATGGTTTGGCACGTTGTGATTCGGTAATTTGGAAATCTCAAAATTATTTAGTTTTCTCAAATAAATCAGATAACATGGAGGAAGTAGAGGACATGAACATTGCTTTGGCGTGTAAGTGGTATCTAGAAAAAATATTTGAAGTACTCTTGTCTAGAAGAGTAAAAAAACCCTAAATAACAAAGCTCTAACAATTAGGCCCATTTTTAGGCCCTTATTAAATGAAGATTTTCTTGACCTCTTATTTTTAAGCCCTCTCATATTTTTGTTTTTTAAGAGGCTTTAAGTAAGGGGCTCAATATATAAATTGTTTGGAACTAAATTGTTTGGAAATTAACTTTATTTTGAAAAATAAAAAAATATTTTAAAAAATATTTTGTTTGGAAATTTTTAAAAATTCGATTTTTCTGAAAATATGAAAACTTGATTTATTTCGAAAATAAAAAATTTTGATTTTTCAACGAAAAAATATAAAAAACTTGACTTTTCCGAAAATAAGAACATTTGTATTATTTTTAAAATAAAAATTTCGATTTTTTATTGAAAATATAAAAATGTAGACTTTATTCGGAAAAAAATTCGAGTTATTTTCGAAAATAATAAAAATCAGTTTTTTTTTCTGAAAATATAAAATGAGTCGATTTTTCTGAAAATAAAAAAATGAGTCGATTTTTCTGAAAATAAAAAAATCAGTCCATTTTTCCGAATATAAGAAAAGTCGGTTTTTTCGGCAAATAATTTTTTTGATTTTTTAACAAAATTATAAAAAGTAAACTTTTCCGGAAAAGTAAATCTTTTTTTGTCGAAAATAACAAAATTTAGTTTTTTTTTTGAAAAAAATGTTTTAGATACTATGGAAAGTCAATTTTTTTCGGAAAAAAATGTTTTTTTATTGAAAATAAGAATAGTTGGGTTTTTTTTAAATATAAAAAAATTCAATATTTCCAAAAATAATAAAAGCCGGGTTTTTCGAAAGTAAATTTTTTTATTCTTTATTGGAAATATAAAAACTCCAATTTTCTGAAAAAAAATCGATGTTTGGTCGAAAATAAGAAAAGTCAATTTTTTCTGATAATATCAAAAAGGTCGATTTTTCCGAAAGTAAAAAAAAAATTAAAATGTCAAAATTTTCAAAATAAGAAAATTCGTTTTTTTTTTGAAAATAAAAAAGTCAAATTTTTATGAAAAAGAATAAAGTCAAATTTTTATCTAAAATATTAAAATGTAAATTTTTTATGAAAGATATGAAAATTCCTTTTTGAAAAAGCTGGGGCCTTGAAGTCCTACATAAATTTTAGGGGCCTTTAGTTTAGAGGACTTATTTATTTTGGGAATTTCTTAATATACCTTTATAGGTGTGAAGTAAACCTCTGAAAACCTTAAAATACTCTTCGGAGATGCAACTCTGAAGACAATCTAAATCAATTTTCAAGGTGTTTCAGAAATACATCACTGAAAATCTCTCTCTTTACACATTATTATTATTTAAACATTGAATTTAAACATTCAGTGGTATTTTTGGATATGTATATCCGAAAATATTGTTGTTATTTCAGCTTGCTGCATGATCATCCCTACTACTATAGCATTCTCTTCATTTCCCCTATAACCAAAATCTATTACAAAACTTCAACCATTCTCAATCAAATTTTCGTCTTCAAACTAAATTTCAAGTGTTGTGTCATATCAAAGAGAGCATAGAAAGCTGCTATTTAAGGTAAATTTTCATCATTTCATCTCTCATTTCCTTGCATTTCTGGTAAACATAATCATGCGTTGGACACCAAGTTACAAGGTCATCCAATTATATGTCATCTTAAGCCAGAGGAGAAGGAAACTATTTTGTAAATATCGATAATCAAAGTTGCGTCGAGAAACATACTTGCTCATTTGAAGCGGAAAAGACCACAAAGTGTTTCAAATATTAGGCAGGTATACAATGAGTGTTATCAATAAAACATGACGAATAAAGATCCAAGATCTAAAATGCAACAACTTTTGAATTTTTTGGACGATAACCACTGATTTGAAACCTCCTTCGCAACCGGTAAAAACCAAAGCATCCCCTAAAAAGGTGAAAAGTACATAAGATGACAGTTTAACAAAGCGGACTAGTCCTTCTTAACATGAAGTTGTTGATTCACATTTCCCAGATTCTCCAACCCCAAAATCGCAAAAAAGTAATTTCAAAGGAGCTCGCATTTCCAGACCACCTCGTACACTGCCTATTAAAAAACCACCACTTACACCTTCAATTAAAAAACCACCACTTACACCTATGATTAAAAAACTCTTACCTCCACTACCGATTATCCATATTAATGAGATGCTGTTTTTTATGTACAAACACATCGAAATGATCCCAGATGTGGGGGTGAGGGTAATTGCAAGTTTCAGGCTGTGTCCGGTTTACTTAGTAAAAGAGAGGAGAATCACACTCTTATGCGTCAAACACTTATTTCGCAGTTCACAGTACATAGGGAACTTTTCACACGACTATATGGGAAAAAGAATTCAAGAAAATTTACAATGCTCTTGTTCCATGTGTTAGCGGTCCCGTACCAGTTGCAAAGTTGATGTGTTTTCCTGAAATGAGTCTTCTTACAACAAATGCATATGACAAGGTGTGTAACGATCTGACGAGATATGGTTTTTCGGAGACATTTTTCCCTCTTCGGAGTCACTCACCTCAAGATCCATCTTGCCGCATCATTTGTATTGGATATCTTAGATCGCTCCATTTTATTCATGTTTATTTGAAACCGAGGTGTCCTATTCTGGCTACATCAGTGGAGTGGGCGACACATTCTGCAAAAGAGGCGGAGCTTGAGAGAGAATCAAATTGAAAGAAGTCAAAGAAAGAATCGGTTTTAGATTTAAGCGATGACAATTCATTCGATGTATTTTAGAATGTATTCGAACCATTTTTTAATGTATTGTCGTGCACAATGCAAATTCAACATTTTAGTGTTGTTTACTTTTACCAATTTAATTTTTTTTCATGTTTCTATGGTACTGATTCTGCTAAAATAAATTTTTTTTTATTGGTTCTACATAATTCGAATAAGCTTATTCAAAATAACCTTCATTTTCATAAATAAAGAATCAAGGGGTATTTCGAATATGTGTGTTAGAAAGTTATCATTTGGTGGTTTCAGATAATGCATCTACGAACCTACTCTAAAAAAAAGTGAAATGTAATGAATTCAGATACATATATTCAAATTAAAAGAGTATTTCGAGAATTTCGTCAATGACCCATAAGAACTCTTAAAGGTGTATTAAGAAATCATCATTTATTTTTAAAAATTTAGGCCCCTATATTTTGGGCCTTAAAAATTAAGTTTTGACCCCTTAAATTGACAGTTGTACTCTTGTCCTTTTTCTACTTGATTGGAAAATCCTATCTTCATTATGAGTAATTAGCGGCTGGAGTTTCTTTCTTTTGGGAGACGAGTCTTCTTCTTGTTCTTATGGAAATTTCAGCTATTAGGTAATGTTTTTTGATGTTGGAGACTAGTTGTGATATTTCTTGTAAGTAGTGTTATTTGTAGATGTCTTCTTGGTTTGAGTTTTGGAGGATTGTTTTTCTTTGAGGCTTATAGTTTTCGGGTCTTCTGTTTGTTTGTCTCTCCTATTCTCGGTTTAGGCATTTGTACCGTTTTCATGTATTACTTATTGGCTTTATTTTCTTTTTCTTATAACAAAATATTTTTAGTGAGAAAATCATTATAAGTTCAAGCTTCCTTCATAAATTACTCCTTCTATAAGTCCTATACAATATATATCAAACCAATCCTTATTATAATTTAATTGTATTTTAACAAACATAATATTTCTTTTTTGAACATGGCATAAGCTGAAGCACACCAAATTAAAAAAGTACATAATATAACATGCTACTCATTGTAATAAGAAGCAACAGTTTATTTCCAAACCGAGAGATTTTGCAAATTTATTTTCCACTCCAATATTATGCAATACTTGAAACCTTTATCACCTTAGCAAGACAAATGTCTATGGGCTTGGGTGATGGTAAATTAGTAATTGGACATTTTGGGTTCACTAACTCAAGCCTGCACAAAATAAATTAATTAGTAAAACAAATAGAGCTAAATTTCTATTAGAAAAAAAAAAGAAAATTATAAAAAAAGTTAAAACAAGTGCTTACTTATAATTGAGAAGGAAATAATGTAGAAATATAGAAATTTCAATTTTAGCCAAATCACTTCCGGGACAATGTCTACTTCCAGCACCAAAAGGAAGGAAACTTCCAATTTTAATATTATGATCCTGCAACATATAATATTATAAAATCACTAATATATAACTATTTTTTAAAGTTTTAATCTAAATTATTACATTAAATACAACTCACATTCCATCTAGATGGATTGAATTCATTTGGATTTGGATAATATGTAGGATCCATATGTATAGCTCTTGTCCAAGTTAACACTTTCCATCCTTTTGGTATAGTATAACCTAAAAATATAGAGTAGATGAACATTTTTTTTTTAATAAATAATAATAGAATATAAATGTTGATATTAAATATATATTTTTTAAAAAGAACTTTAAATATGAACAAACCGTTGATGTTAACATCCATAGTTGCCTCCCTAAATATTGCAAAGTTGGTATTCTTAAGTCGCAGAATTTCATTGGTTATCTGTAAATGCAATACATTACTACACTAATTAGTTAAGATTAGTTTCTAAAAACAATTTGAAAGAGAAAAGTTATATTTTGAAAAAAATTATATTAATGGATATTTCATAATTATAAGTTTTAAGTAGTTGCTATTTTATTTAAATGATTGTAAGCTATTAGTTTAGGTTAGGGTTTAATCTTTGACAATAATATTTATTTATATTTCTTTATTAATATAAATAAATTGTTGCTATCTTTAAAAAGAAAAATCTACCTGAGAAAGATAAGTCATTTTCTTGATATCCTCAAGACTTAAATGTTTTTGGTTGGACAACCTCGTCTTCATAATTTCCTCTTGCTCTTCCTACAAACAACAAACAATGGTTTTACAATTCATCTTTTTGCTTTTTGGTTCCTCTCTTTTATTTAATACATGGTTTTGTTTTTCTATAAAAAAGTTAATTTTTTATAATTACATTTATAAAAGAAATTAAATCTAAGTAATTTAATTTATAAAACAAATAATTTATTCTACTTGACATAAGTTTAATTCACCTTGGCCTTTTCCAAAATATGTGGATTTTGTGTAAGATATATCATTGACCACATCATACTATTTGCTGTAGTTTCATGGCCAGCAAGTACAATCCCTATCAATATGTCAATAATATCCTCATCTTCATATTTCCAACCATCTTCATCCCTTGCTTCCAAAAACACATCAAGTAGATCTTTCCTTTCACCATGTTTTATCATCCTCCTCCTTTCTTCAACAATAGGTTTAACTAATTTTACCAACTTCTCACGTGCCTATTATATCATGTATAATCAACATGAAAATAAGTTTCTTGTGAATGCACGAATTTTTAACTAGTTCTTATTAATAATGATATTATGAAATTGAATATGAAAAAATATATATAAGAAATAATTACCATGATTCCTTTACGAAAAGCAAAACCGGGAAGATTAATGGGCAAAGAGAACAAAGCACTATGCATTTCGGTGAAAGAGTTTCCTATTTTGGTAATAATATGTTGATTGTAAGAGCCCAAGAAAATATCAATAATAATATTAAAAGAAATATTTTTCATCTCTTTCAAAAACTCAACCGGGTGAGTCATACGAGAAATTTCTTCTAGAGAATTAATCACAATATCCTCCATACTTGATAGGTATGTTTCTAATGTATTATGTCCCATTGTAAGAGACGAGATTAAGCGCCTAAAACGTCTGTGTTCTTCTTTAGAGAAACTCCAAATAGGTTTACATCTCACTACTTCTATAGTAGATTTTGGATAACCGATTTTAAATGTCTCATCATCTGTCAACACCCGTCTACACATATCTGCATCACAAATGATGATACTTGGAGTCCCAAATAAATGTGTCTTGTAGATACCATTTCCTCCATATCTGTAATATAAGGTAGCTAGTATAAGATTTATTATATATATACAAAATATAAATATGTGTGTGTGTGAAGAATCATTACAAGAGGAGAAACAGAAAGAGACTACTTGGAGACAAGGTTGTTGATGAATAAATCAGGATGACCAGATTTGAAATGTTTAATAAAGGCCAGCATATTTCCTACAAAAGGCCATCCCAAATCACCAGGAGGCAGAGGGTATTGTTTCTTTCTTAATTTCATATAATAATACAACTCATTCAATCTCCAAACAAAATTGATCACACAAAAATAGGTTGCTAACAAAAGGGCATAAATCCAAACCCAATATTGTATATCCATCTTTGAGTACTTAGTTTATTTGCTCATATTGATTGTATTTATATAGTTGATAGAGTTAGTTTAATTACTTAACGGCAGTTAATAGAGTTAGTAAATCCATGTATGGTGCTAGCTTTGTTACGTTACGTTTCCTTTTATTTTTTGGATTAATTATAAGTTTGTTTTATTAGCCATATAGTTAACATTAGTAACTTCTATATATTGCGGTCATAACTACTATGTACAAGTTTCTTTTTCTACTATTGGATCAATAGAATTTTCTTTTCTTCATATATCACTTATGAATTGAACAAAAGATGAATAGTAGGTTGAAGATGAGTACCATAGAGAGGCTTACCTATTCACTAACTTTTTTTTTTTATAATAAGCAAACCTGTATATTAATTTAAAGTATTATGGGTTCTCTCACTACAAAAAAGAAGCTTAGTTGCCACGTGAAATTCATGTGGCAAACATCAAAATCACGTGGCAAAGCAAAATTAGCGACGTGGTGAGTTATGTCGCTGGGGAGTAAGTGGCAAGCAAGTAGCGACGTGATTCCCACGTCACAAAGTTGTGACGTGGTATTCACGTCGCTACATATTTGTTAATGCAGCTTTATTAGCGACGTGAGATTCATGTCACTAATTTGTGACATGAATCCCACGTCGCTACAGGGGACGTTTTTATTTTTTAAAAAATTGTTAATAATTATTTTTTATATTAATTCATTAATGTAATAAAATTTAAATAATAAAATTTATATAATAAAATTTAAATAATAAAATTTATATAATAAAATTTATATATTAAAATTTATATAATAAAATTTATATATTAAAATTTATATAATAAAATTTATATAATAAAATTTATATATTAAAATTATTAGAATAATAGTATTTTATTTTATATTTCGAATAATAGAATTTTATAAAATAAATTCACATAATTAAATGTTATATAATTTATTAATTTAAAATGATAAAAATAAATATCTTACATAAATGCAAATATAAAAACGAAATAAAAAAAATGTTTTCACGGGGCATCTTCACCCGGAAAATTATCAAGATCAAAGTCATCAAGTCCGTCATCATCCGGCTGTGTATGATCAGGAACATTTTGATTTCGACCCCCTTGCATAAACTGTCTCATCTGCTCCTCCATATCAGATTGCCGCTTCCGCATGATCTCTAACTGACGCTCCTGCTCTTGCCTCATTGTCGTCATTTGGGCCTCCATTTCGCGTCTCACTTCACTGGCCGCCAATTGTCGTACTGTTTCAAGTTGAACCTGAGTCAGATTGGGTTGACGTGACCCCCCTTCTCCATCTCTAAGTCTTTGAAACAGATTACGATCACCAACTCTCAAGCCGGCGGCCAAATTTCCTCCCGCAAAAAAGCAACCATTAGGCCCTTTTCCATTAACAACCTCATTCCAAATATAGAAATCAACATCCCCATTAAGCGGCTCCCCCTCTGCTGGCCTATATTGCGGATTGTGTTCTAGAAAATTTGCTAGCAATGTCTGATAATCATCCTACACATTAAATTATACATTAAAAATATTACATAATACAATTAAAAAAAAATTAAAACATTTATATATTAAATTATACTAAATTCAAATATATTAAAAATTTGTCACGTGATTTTCACAAATCAACTTATGAATTGCCACGTGAGTTTCCCGTGGCAATGTATCAGTTGCCATATGAAAATCAGTCACCTGGCAATTTATCAGTTGCCACATGATAATCACGCCACAACTTATAGATTGCCACGTGGAAATAACGTCACTATTTTTGTTATTAACTTAAAAAAAAAACATAAGTTTAATTACTTACAAAAGCTTTCTGGGTGCGGTCGTCGACAAAACCTCCCGATTTTTTTGTCCGAGTCCTCGTAATCAACTCAATCATCAATGGTGGTCTCCCCATCTCCTTAGTCTAAACAATAAAGTTAAAAATAATTAGTAACAAATATTATGAATAAAAATATATATAACTTAAAAAATTAGTAATATTTACCATCCGTCGGACATGCTCTGCAGTGCTAATACTTCCAACAGTATTGACACATCCCCCTTTTTCTGATGCCCTCATCTTCTTAAAATTTTCAGATTTGGCCTTGAATTCTGGCGAACTCCAATATGTACGAAGTTCGCCAAAAACCTCTACGCCTATCCAGTTAGGACGGATACCATGCAGCTCATAATTCTCCCTAACCCGCCGCATTATATCCGAAAATCTTCTAGAAGTTCTGCTATAATATATTTTTTCCATTATTTTCTCATTCAACGGATCCCACACACATTTTTCCTGCAATGTTGTATGACATTAAAATAAAAAGTTAAGCAATTATCATTAAAATGTGACTTAAATAACAATACTAAAAAAATATAATAAATTTACAACTTAAATAAATAACAATACCTTAAATTTTTTAAACCATTCTTCTTTATTTGTAACCTCGCCAAAGTTCTTCCAAGAGGATTTATACATCTGCTGGATTATATAATTAATAACCTTGGCAGCCGTCCGACTCGGCGCGAAACTAAACAACAAGATTTTGAATAAACAATATTAATTATAAATTTATACAAAATATTAAAATGAATATGTACTTAAATAAAAGTTTATATAAGAAACTTACTTGCTTCCTTCGGGCCAAATCCAAAACCTCCCGTCAATTACATGAATCTCACTCGGATCATCTGATCTCTCACGAATATCAGCTCCATCTATATCATCAGCTACGACATCTGCATCACCGCCAGCCTGTGTAGGACGTGGGGTGCTGGATCCTGCAGCCTGTGTGGGATGAGGGGTGCGTGACCCTCCGGTCCGTCTAGGACGTGGGGCGCGGGATCCTGCAGCCTGTGCCGGACGTGGACTGCTGGGTCCTCCAATGTGTGTGGAGTGTGGGGTGCTGGACCCTCCCGCCTGCTGGAAGGATGAATACATCTGTGTGGGTCCCCCTGTCTGCTGGAATGATGAAGGCACGCCAGTCTGTATAAATGGAAAACTGGGTCCTCCCCCCGTCTGCTGGAATGATGAGGGGACACCAGTCTGCTGGAAAGATGAAGGCACCTGGGTCGGTGCGAAAGGGAAACTAGATCCTCCCGCATGCTGGAAGGAAGATGGCATCTGAGTATGTGGGAAAGGAACACTAGATCCTCCCGCCTGCTGGAAGGATGACGGCATCTGGGTCGGTGGGAAAGGGAAACTAGATCCTGCTGCATGCTGGAAGGAAGACGGCATCTGAGTCTGTGGGTAAAGGAAACCGGGGCCTCCAGGTGGCACAAAAGATGCAGGTACCCCAGACGGGAATGTATGGGAGGAGAGTAATGGGACAAAACCCTGAGTACTGGCCAGGGACATATGATCAACCTGACTCTGAGGGGGTGGGCACATGGCTGAGTGAGGAGACTCACATGTTACTACCCTCGGACGCTGAGACTTCTTACCGGTATCCTTATTCTTCGGTGCCATTTTACCTAGTTATATATATTTTCATAAACAAAGATAATAAAGTCATTGACATAAATATATATTCATTGACAAATTCAATATATAAATGTTCAATAGATATTCATTAATATTACATTAAGTGATTAATTAATCTAAATCTTCATGCTCGTTATCCATATCATGTTCATCATCCGATGTAATATTGTCCTCGGATTCAAACTCTTCATCATTGTCTTCATCCACATTATTATCAACCAACAATATAGACGCATCAACTTGAAGGCCCTCAACAGTTGTATCGGACAAAGTTGTAATGTCTTCAGCTGCAACCACATCATTAATCTGTTCAACGTCATCAACTTGGTAGGCAACATCTTCCACTAGATCTCCAGTTTCAATATGACCTAGCGGTTTTGTTTTTATTACAACACACCATCCTCTTTTACGTATTACAAATGAAGGATAAGGAACATAATAAACTTGCCTAACAATATGTGACATTATGAAAGGGTCATATTCTTTGTATCTCCGGTTCATTTGAATCTCGACAGAACCATATGACTTGTCTATCTTTGTGCCTCTAGTTGGATCATACCATTCACAATAAAACAAGACAACTTTATTTTCCGTGTCCAAGTAATTGTATACCAACTCGTAGATATGTTTAACAAATCCATAGAAGTCGTCTTCACCGCCATCTGTAACTCCTTTTACAAAAACACCACTATTTATGGTTTTTTTCCCTTCGGTCCATGCCTCAGTGTGAAATTTATATCCGTTCACGAAGTATGTGTGCCAATCATTTGCGCTTTGGATAGGGCCTTCTGCCAAGTTTCTCAAATGGAGTATTTCTGGAGTTAGTGCAGGAACGCTAGACAATGTTTGCTTGAACCATGAGGGAAATTGAGCATGAATGACACCTGATGTTGACTGTACCCCGGTACTATGAAAATAGGCATTGTTAAATTCCCTACAAAAAACACACAATAAGTTTAATAAGTTTGGTATACACACACCATAAGTTTAAAAAGTTTTGGTAAACTCACTCAAGATATGGTTTAACTTCAACGCAGTTGATCAAGACATGGACATGTGCAGATTGCATTTCTTTTTGGGTCAACCAATGCACACCCTTCTTTCCAGAAGGTCGACCTGGTAGCGCAAAGACTGATAAGGTGAATTGACTCCTCTGATTGACATTTACAGGATTCCGTATGATTCTAGGAGTTAACATCAAGTGATTGAAATAGTGACTGCAAAAATGTGATGTTTCCCGATGCAAGTAATGTGCACATATAGATCCTTCTACTCTAGCTTTATTTTTTACCGATCTCTTTGAATCACCCATGAACCTTTCAAACGGATACATCCACCTATATTGAACAGGTCCACCAAGATAAGCCTCATATGCAAGATGCACAGGTAAATGTTCCATGGAGTCAAAGAAACCAGGCGGAAATACTTGTTCCAACTTACAAAGAATGAGTGCAATGTTTTGGTCCAACTTAATGATGTCTTCCACTTTTAAAGCTGACGCACAAATATCTCTAAAAAATTGACTAATTTCAGTTAGTGGGTCAAGAACATGTTTGGGTAGCGATCCAAATGCAATTGGTAGCAACTGTTCCATAAAAATGTGACAATCATGACTTTTCATACCATGCAATTTTCCAGTGTTAGGGTCAGCACACCTTGCTAAATTTGATGAATACCCATCGGGCATTCTCAATTCTTTTAACCATCTACAAACCGCTTTAGCTTCTTGGGAAGTCAGACTGAAACAAGCCTTGGGTTTTAATAATTTTCCATTCGGTTGAGGCTTCAACTCCAACTCTCTTCGATTACACCAAATTCCCATGTCTTGTCTGGCCTTCTCATTATCTTTTGTTTTTCCTGTCACATCCATCACTGTGTTAAATACATTATCAAAAAAATTCTTCTCAATATGCATAACATCAAGATTATGGCGCAACAAATTATCTTTCCAATACGGAAGATCCCAAAATATACTTCTTTTTGTCCAATTGTGGGTGACGCCGTATCCTTCAATTCGGCATGCTTTCCCAGTATCTGTAAATTTTGGTAGTTCACATACTTGGTTCCATATAACCCCTGGTGGCAATCGAGGCGGAGGCAAATCTTTCTCTCGTACATCTTTTTTAAAATTTGTCTTGTTTCTTCTATACGGGTGATTTGCTGGTAGGAATCTGCGGTGACAGTCAAACCATGAGCTTTTCCCACCTTTATCCAACGTAAATGCTTTGGTGTATCCCATGCAATGTGGACAACCCATTTTTCCATGCGTACCCCAACCAGACAACATGCCATATGCTGGAAAGTCATTAACGGTCCACATCAAGGCAGCTCGTAATGTGAAGTTCTGTTTACGGGATATATCATAAGTCCATTCTCCAATCCACATCTTCTTCAAATCATCAATTAAAGGTTGTAAGTACACATCAATTCCGGCTTTTGGACTGTGCGGGCCTGGAATAACACACGTCAAAAACATGTATGGTTTTGTCATGCACATCTCAGGAGGGAGGTTGTAAGGTGTTACAATAACTGGCCAACAAGAGTACGCACTTCCTGACGCTTGCACGTATGGGGCAAATCCATCAGAGCATAATCCAAGCCTGACATTTCTAGGTTCTGCAGCAAAATCTGGATGTGTCCGATCAAAGTGCTTCCATGCCTCACCATCAGATGGATGTCGCATAGTGCCAGAACTTGTTTGGTTTGTATGATGCCATGTCATTTGACTTGCACTGTGCATTGAAGCAAACATTCTTTTTAACCTTGGTATTATAGGAAGATAAAACATGGATTTTACTGCTACACGCTTTTGCTTGCTGTTAACGGCTCTACTGCGAACTTGATATCTTGGACTATTACAAAACTTACACTCCTCTAACGATCCATCTTGAATACCAAACTCATTGTCATAAAACAACATGCAACCGTTAATGCAACAGTCAATCTTTCTTACTTTTAAACCCAACTTCGACACCCACTTCTTTGCATCATAATAACTTGTAGGCAAATTGTCTTTCGTAGCGGTGGAGTCCAACATCATTTTTGCAAAATGTTCCAAACATTGATCAGAAACATTCCAATTTGACTTGGCAGCCAATAATCTCACACACATTGATAGCTTCGAGTCTGACGACCCCTCAAACAACGGCGTATTCATCTCGTTCAATAATTGATAAAATCTTTGCGCTTCCTCATTCGGCAACTCTTCCCCGTCAAAATCTTCAGGTTCATCATATGTCACGTTCACACCAAAAGCATCCTCAACCATGTCACCGATCAAATTAAAGTTCTCCTCATACTCCATAACCGGTCGACTACTTGAAGCATGCGTGTTGCTAGTCTCTGGTACATTAACCGGTAGTTCTTCACCATTATACGTCCAAACCCAATAATTTTCAATGAATCCCCTTCTATGCAGATGACGTGTTACTTCCTCTGGGTCACTAATTATTGGTCTACATTCACACTTAAGACAGGGACATCTAACCCCTCCTTCGCTTCGACAACAATCCTGAGCAAACGCCCACTTAATAAACCCATCAACTCCTACTATAAAATTGGGTTTAAGTCCACTTCTTCCTGGATATGTTCTATCGTACATCCAACTGCGATAATACCGATAATATTCCATACTGCACATTTATACAATCATTGTCTTTTTCATTAGAAATATTCTTAAACTATTTAATACTATTCTTAGAAATATAAATTTTGCTTTTTTATATATATACTAACATATAAATAAATATTCAAATGTAAAATATATAATTTTTTATTACATAACAATAATATCAAAAAACAATAATATAACATATTTACTTTTTATTATATATAATATAAGATACATACTATTTAAATATACTATAATATACTATAATATATTTAGAAAACAAATAATGTAAGATACATACTATTTATTATTATATATATAACAATAATATTAAAATAATAATATAATATATATATTCTTTTTTTAAATATGTTTTTTATAAATTGTTATTCTAATATATAATATTTTTTCCATATCTTTAACATATAAATAAAAAAATAAAACTATTATAATAAATACAATTTACATCTATAAAAAACATGTTATTAAATATGTTATTAAATTTATGTTTTCTAAAATTTTTTAAAAAATATATTAAATATGTTATTAAAAAATATGCAAATTACATATACAAATATACTACTAAAAAATATATAAATCACATATGCAAAAAATATGCAAATTACATATACAAATTACATATGCAAAAAATATATTAAATATGTTATTAAATATGTTTTTAAAATTTTTTTTATTATCAGTAATTTTATACTACTAACAGTATATACATATATTCCTAATTACCACAAAATACATATACAAATCTAATCTATATAATACATATAAAATCTAAAAAAAAATGCATAAATACCTCTATATAATTTCTTCAATAAATTTGCGTCTTCTAGTTCTTGGTGTTCTTCAAATTTCTCTACAAATAATAAGGAACAATCCAACAAATACCATGTTAATTAAATTCCAGTATAAAAACTAAAGATAAAACGAAATAAACATTTAACATCACATGCATACCTTAGATTTCTTCAACAAATTGGAATGGAAGAAAATTAATTCGCAAAATTGGGTTTGAGTTTGTGAGAGTTGCTGTAATGGAATGGAAGCAAGCAAAGGAAAGCAAAGGAAGAAGAAGAAGCACGCTACTGTAAATCAAAACGTTAACATTTGTAACTTCTAGTAGCGACGTGACTGTCACGTCGCCACGTTGCCACGTGATAATCACGTCGCTACAATGCAACCATAAATACTTTTCTCTGTCCAACACTGCGCATTTTCCCCCCAAAAATTTAGCGACGTGGCTAACACGTCGCTACAAAATTTCAAACTTCCCTCCCAACAACGTTCATCAGATTCCATTAAATGTCATTAAAATATATTAGCGACGTGGTTATCACGTCGCTACTACCCACGTGATAAGCACGTCGCTAATATATGTCGCTGGGGACATATATTTTTGTAGTGTCTAAGCCCAAATACAAAACAATCCAACACATAATTTACAACAATCATTATAGCGCTTTTATACATTCCAATGGACATATGAACCAATCATAAAAATTACATAACTTTTTTGTTTTAGAATCAATAAGAAGTCAAAATCAAGATATTAAACAAGATTTGGTCCTCATTCGTCACAACATCCGTGAAAACAATCTCATTTCTTTTGATCCAAATCGTCCAACAAAATATGATTCCCAATCTCCTAGTGTCAACTTTCCGCTGTCAATAAAAGTTTGTCTGCATAAAATAATCGACAATACGTGCCTATTTTGTTTTTGTCTCCTGAATGAAACACATCTCTGTTAAAATATTAAATTTGATTAGATTTAATATTTCAATATAATCTAAGTTGTGTTAGTTCAAACCCAATTATGATTGTATATAAATAGTTATAGTGTGTATCATTATTTGTACAATTTAATAATACAAATCCTTATTTCCTTTATTATTCTCTCTTTCTCTCCTCACTAAAAATGCCTCATGCACTAACAAATTGGTATCCAGAGCTTCCGGATATTGTTCTTGATCAAGTTTTCAAGAATTTCACGTCAGAGATCGTGTTTCTAGGGCAAATGAATCAACCGCTGCGAAGATGGATAGTGATAAGGGAATTCTGAATTCTCTTCCAATGCTTGACGGAAAAATTTGAATCCGATGGAAAAAACAGATGCAATCCTTGTTTGGCTTCCATGAAACCCTAGAAGTGGTTACCGACGGCGTTTCTACATTGACTGCAAATGCAATCGACGAACATAAAACAAAACCCACAACGAAGTCAAGAAGAAAGATTACAAGGTTGGTTATTGCATTCAAACGGCTGTCGATGCTGCTAATTTTAACATAATCTCTCATGCTGAAACGGAGAAGGAGGCATGGGATATTTTGGTGAAGTATTACGAAGGAGGTGAGAAAATCAAGGTTGTCAAATTACAAAACATGCATCGACAATATGAGTTATTGTCGATGAGAGAAGATGAAAAAATATTAGAATATGTGTCGAAGATTCAGAAACTCGTCCATCTTATGAAGGGTTGTGGTGAAACCATTGCTGATAAGATGATAATTGATAAGGTAATAAGAACGTTGACCTCTCACTTTGATCACGTTTTCGTAGCTATTCAAGAATTCAACAATCTTGAAACCACTAAAGTGGATGATTTGGTTGGTTCGTTGGAGGCGCATGAGATGAGGATTGTCGAAAGGAAAGGAGTTCAGGACTCGATACAGGAACTACAAGCTCAGTCATGGTAGAAGATGATTGAACACTAGAGTGTCCAGAATTTTGCACTCGCCGGTGCACGAAGTACCACTATTGGTTGATTATACCGGGAATGGGCTTAAAGAGGCCATTTGGAGAGGTGACCGAGAGTCATCAGAGATTGGCTTATAGATACCATCCAAAGTGTTTGGAGTGAGTCTACGCCTGACATGATCCAAAAGGATGATCAGAATAAATCTACACTCGATTTAATCTGAGCCAGAAGATATCTACGCCCGACTTCAACTGGAAGAAGTATCAGAATAAATCTACGCTCGACTTAATCTGAACTAGAAGATGTCTACGACCATCTTCAACTAGAAAATATGTTGGAAAAAGTCTACGCCCGAATTTTATGAAGGAATATCAGAATAAATATATGCTTTATTTAATATGAGCCAGAAGATGTCGACGCCCGTCTTAAACTGGAAGAAGTATCAGAATAAATCTACGCTCGATTTAATCAGAGCTAGAAGATGTATACGCCCGACTTCAACTAGAAAATATGTTGGAAAGGGTCTACGCCCCACTTTTCTAAAGGAGTATCAGAATAAATCTACGCTCGATTTAATTTGAGCTAGAAGATGTCGACTCCCGTATTCAACTGGAAGAAATATCAGAATAAATCTACGCTCGATTTAATCTGAGCCAAAAGTTGTCTTCGCTGGACTTCAACTAGAAAATATGTTGGAATGAGTCTACGCTGGACTTTTCCGAAGGAGTATCAGAATAAATCTACGCTCGATTTAATCTGACCCAGAAGATGTCGATGCCCGTATTGAACTGGAAGAAATATCAAAATAAATCTACGCTTGATTTAATCTGAGCCAGAAGATGTCTACGCCCGACTTCAACTAGAAAATATATTGGAAAGAGTCTACGCCTGACTTTTTCGAAGAAGTATCAGAATAAATCTACACTCGATTTAATCTGAACCAGAAGATGTCAACACCCATATTCAACTGGAAGAAGTATCAGAATAAACCTACACTGGATTTAATCTGAGACCGAAGATGTCTACGCCCAACTTCAACTAGAAAATATATTGGAAAGAGTTTACGCCCTTCTTTTTCGAAGATGTATTAGAATAAATCTACGCTCGACTTAATCTGAGCCAGAAGACGTCGATGCATGTTTTCAACTCTAAGAAGTATCAGAATAAATCTACGCTCGATTTAATCTGAGCCAAAAGTTGTATATGCCCGTGTTCAACTAGAAAATATGTTGGAAAGAGTCTACGCCCGACTTTTATGAAGGACTATCAAAATAAATCTACGCTCGATTTAATATGATCCAGAAGATGTCGACGCTCATCTTCAAATAGAAGAAGTATCAGAATAAATCCAGCTCGATCTAACAGAACCAGATGATGTCTATGCCTGACTTCAACTAGAAAATATGTTGAAAGGAGTCTACGCCCGACTTT